CCCGCCGGCCTGCCGCCGCACATGGCCGCCGCCGCCGCGGCCGCGCGCGGCGCGGGGGCGGGTGCTTGCGCAGGCGCGCCGCTGGGGCCGCCGCCGGGCAGCAGCACTGACCTGGGAATGTCCGGCGACTGGGTGCACCAGGAGGCAGCTGCCAAGCAGCTGACGCACCACATCGTCAGCGCGGAGAACGTGTGGGCCCTCATCGACATTTACAGCGCGAATAAGGGCCTATTGGATATCATACACCTCACCGCCTGCATCACGAGGCTCTCGAAGGTCCTCGGCTCGCGCCCCGCCGCCAACAGCCCCGCCCACGCAGCCGCCGAGCAGCTGCTGCCGCAGATCGGCCAGCAGCTGACGCCGATGCTGGCGTCGTGCAATGCGCGGGGGCTCGCAAACGTGCTCTGGGGGTACGGGCGGCTGCGCATGCGGCCGGAGGACACGTCGCTGGTCGTGCTGCTGCAGCAGTTTGTCAAGCACGTGTCGGAGGCCACGAGCCGCGACTGCGCGGTCGTGCTCTGGTCGCTCGCGCGGCTGTCGGAGAGCCAGGCGGGCGCGGGCGTGCCGCCGCAGCTGCTGCAGCGCGTGGGCAGCGTTCTGCTGCAGCATCTCTGCGGCTTCTGGCGCCCGCGGCAGCCTGCTGCTGCCTCGCCCGCGCAGCCAGCCGCCGCGGGCGAGGCCGAGAGCAGCGGCGCCGCCGCAGGCGGCGGCACGGGCGACGGCGCGCCCGGGGCGCCCGCTGCACCCGCGGCGGTGGCCGGCGGTGCGCCGCTGCTGCTGACGGTGCCGACGCCGCGCGACATCAGCAACAGCCTCATGGCCCTCAGCCGGCTCGGCTTCAAGCCCGCGCCGCTGCCGGACGCGTCCGCGGCTGCCGCGGCGGCGGCCGCTGCGACTGCCGCTTCCGAGGCGGCGGCAGCGGCGGCCTCGGCTGCCGAAGAGGAGACTGTCTCTGCGGCGGGCGAGGGGGCTGCGGCGGCGGCCTCTGAGGTTACCAAAGAGGGGGCCGCAGAGGGGCCGGAGGAGGGTGGCGGCGAGGCAGGGGCGGCGCCCGCGGAGGTGGTTGCAAACGGCGGCGCAGCGCATGCAGCGGCGGGCGCCGGCGCGGCTGGGCCGGGGCCGGGCGGAGCGGAGCCGGCGGGCGAGGACGCTGCGCGCGATCCTGCCGCGGCGGCGCCCAGCTGCGACGCAGCGCCGGCCGCAGCCGGAG